GAGAGAAAAAAATTATTATGCTCATGATCTTCACTTATAATTGTTGGAGCTTGTCAAAAGCAATACATGAAAATTAGTCCCAAAGCGATAGATATCCAAGAAGGATATAATAAAAAATCATGAAGATTATTGGACAAAATAAACTTGATTCTTAGTAATAGTTTTGACATATGATGATGTGATATGTGAGTTATGTTGGTGAGTAATTATGCTTTAGTAAGAATATTGGTGTTAAGGTTTGTGATTCCCTGTGCAAGTACGAAAGTCAATAGTCATGCAATGAAATTATATCCTACTTATGATGCATTATTCGGTGTTATTTATGCTTAATGCTTGCTTATGAGATTATTTGTTTCTTAGTTGGTCGCTTCCTAATCCTTTGCTAGCCTTCATTTTGCACTAAGTATGATCACTACTTGTGCATCCAAAAACCTTTAACCCAGGTTTGCCACATGAGTCCACTATATCTACCTATATGCGGTATTCTTTTGCCGTTCTAAGCAAATTTGCGTGTGCCATCTCTAATTTTCAAAATAAACTTCTCTTTTGTGTGTTTTTCGCTCGCGGGGCGGTGAGGGGTGGCTAATATTTTCCATGCTAGGTGTGTTATTCTCAAGATGAGTGTTTATTCACTTGCCATTGCATGAGAGTAAGGAAAAGGTATTAGGGATGCCCAGTCCCTAAATGCAAAAAAATGAATTTACTTGATATTGTCAAATAATAAATTCCTTGGAAAGTGTTGGTATGAAGGGCACCCGTGGATACGGCTAGCCATGAAAAGTGAAAGTATGGTGGAAAAAGGAATAAACTTTATTTTCTATTTGGGAACCGCCTATGATATATCTATGCATGGAAAGTATTGGGAATTCTAAGTCGTTTTCGTTGGTGGGATGGATACACCTCCCAAAATGTTTTTATCTATAAGCTTTTCGCTTTGAGCTCTGGCACCTCTACAAATCCCTACTTCCCTCTGCGAAGGGCCTTTCTTTTACTTTATGCAATTTTTATTTTTGAGTCTCCATCTTGTCTTATAAAAGCACCAACTAGGAGGCAATATGACCATACTTAAGTATTGGGTATAGCTAATATTCGAGTGTGTTTCATGAATGGATCAATGTTTGAGTATGACGAGCTAGGGATAACTCATTTTCGCGTTGATATTTTGAAAGACATGGTTGCTAGTTGATATGCTTGAGTATCTAAATTATCATGTCAAAACTAGACTATTGCTTTAAATGACTAAAAGTCCAAATATCCATGCTATAAAGAAAATAATATGATATGACAAGATAGGCAGCATTCCACATCAAAAATTCTGTTTTTATCACTTACCTACTCGAGGACGAGAAAGAGTTAAGCCTGGGGATGCTGATACGTCTCCAACGTATCTATAATTTTTGATTGTTCCATGCTATTATATTATCAATCTTGGATGTTTTATAATCATTTTATAGTCATTTTATATCATTTTGGTACTAATCTATTGACATAGTGCCAAGTGCCAGTTCCTGTTTTTTCCGTGTTTTTTACATCGCAGAAAATCAATATCAGACGGAGTCCAAATGCTACGAAACATTACGGAGAATTTTTATGGGCCAGAAGGAACACAACTGGCCCTGACTGTGCCTGGGGGTGCCCCAAGGGGGGCACAACCCACCAGGGCACGTCAGGAGGCCCAGGCGCGCCCTGGTGGGTTGTGCCCACCTCGGGTGCCCCCCGGACCGCCTCTTTGCTCTATGAATACTCCAAAAATCCCAGAACCCTAGGGGAGTCGACGAAATATTCATCCAGCCGCCGCAGAGTCCAGAACCACCAGATCCAATCTAGACAACATCTCGGATGGGGTTCACCACCTTCATTGGTGCCTCTCCGATGATGCGTGAGTAGTTCTTTGTAGACCTTCGGGTCCGTAGTTAGTAGTTAGATGGCTTCATTTCTCTCTCTTGATTCTCAATACAATGGTCTCTTGGAGATCCATATGATGTAACTCTTTTGCGGTGTGTTTGTTGGGATCCGATGAACTTTGAGTTTATGATCAGATCTATCTTTTTATATCCATGAAAGTTATTTGAGTTTCTTTGATCTCTTATATGCATGATTGCTTATAGCCTCGTATTTCTTCTCCGATATTTGGGTTTTGTTTGGCCAACTTGATCTATTTATCTTGCAATGGGAAGATGTGCTTTGTAGTGGGTTCGATCTTACGGTGCTTGATCCCAGTGACAGAAAGGGAAACGACACGTATGTATCATTGCTACTAAGGATAAAACGATGGGGTCTATCTCTACATAGATAGATCTTGTCTACATCATGTCATCGTTATTATTGCATTACTCCGTTTCTCCATGAACTTAATACACTAGATGCATGCTGGATAGTGGTCGATGTGTGGAGTAACAGTAGTAGATGCAGGCAGGAGTCGGTCTACTAATCTTGAACGTGATGCCTATATAATGATCATTTCCTAGATATCGTCATAATTATTTGAAGTTCTATCAATTGCCCAACAGTAATTTGTTCACCCACCGTTTGCTATTTTTCTCGAGAGAAGCCACTAGTGAAACCTACGGCCCCCGGGTCTTCTTTCTCATATATTTGCCTTTGCGATCTATATTCTTTTGCTTTTATTTTCAGATCTATTAATCTAAAAACCTAGAAATACTTTGCTGCACTTTATTTTATTTGCGATCTATTTATTCAATCTATTACAACTTTCTCCCGCCACACACCAATTTCTGACACCGTTACCCGAAAGGGATTGACAACTCCTTTAACACGTCGGGTTGCGCGAATTTGTTATCTGTGTGCAGGGGCTGTTTATGTTGTGTTGCTTGATACTGATTGGCGCCAACGAAATGAATTGGCGAAAAGGCTAGGAGTAGAAGATGTAGGGAAGGACGAGGAAGAGAAGACAACAATTATCCCTTCTAGCAATGAATTGTATATGGGCGAGAGGTGGAGCTTATTGGTGACTAGAAATACGTTCAGGTTGCTCCTCGCCTCCCACGCAAGGGTGCATTTGCAAAGTAGAATGGACCTTTGAAAATGGTCTCCATAGTTATTATTGTTTTGTGTCAATAGTATGTGTTAGTTTAACCCACTATTACATTGTAAACATGAAAATTTTCAACTCTGTTTCAATGCACGACAAAGGTAAGGTATGCGTCATCTGGTTTTAAGAAGGAGGCTCCAACGAGAATGTCCCGCTACGGTGGAAAACCGAGCGGGAAGGCGAGGGTTCGACGGGAAAAAGGAATGGTGCATTATGGAATGGGATTTTTATGTTGGGCCTACGTGTTGGAGATAACATGGCAGTTAGTCGAGACATCCAGATTTCTCCTCGACATATGGTCTGTATTTGGGGGAGGCTGAATTGTCTAGACGTTTAATTTTGTGGAACGTACTTACCGCTTGCTTGATGTTAGAACACACCCGGACATCTAAGGAAGAAACGAGCTTTTCTAGATGGCCTCAATTATTTGTTTAATTATTTATATATGCATTATATCTTGTAGCAGCGAACGGATTTGATTATTTGTTTTGCTAGTTTAAGTTAGCGTTGCTGTTAGAGCATCTATAACCAGGCATCCCAAACACTCCTCAAACGTCCGGACGGCCCATCCGGTCACTGACCGGTCACGATTTTTTGACCCAGACGACCCCTCAAACGGGTCTCAAACGCTCATGCTAACCGGCACCCCTCATATCCAACCCAAATATGGAACGGATATGGGGCCGCTCGAGCACGACCGCCACGTCGGACTAACGGCCGGGTCCCACGCGGAAACATTCAGAAACCTGGCGGTCCGAATCTCGTCTCCTTCGTCGGACCGGTGTCGCCGCTCCGGCAGGCCGCGTAGTGCCTAGCCCAGCTATTTAAGTCGACCGGCGGCACCAAAACCCTACCATCCACATTTCCCTATGCATGTTTGCCGCCGCCGCCACTTTCCACTCCCCCCCTCCCGTCCGTCTAGTAGCCATGCCCCCGCGCCGCCGGGTGAGAAACGAGCCATTTGTAACGCCGGAGCGCCGACTCGAGCTCCTTGAGCAGATCCGGGCAAGGCACGAAGCCCGGAACGTGGCGGGGCTACCTCCAGATGCAGTGGATCCAGGGAAGGAGGAGGAGGATATGGGGGACGTTGGCGACGCGGATCTGTAGGCTATCCTCGATTCCCTCCGCTCGGACTCGGCTGCAGAGGCCAGACGTCGTTGCCGGCAGGAGATGGAGGCGCAGCAGGCCGCGGAGGAGGCGGAGATGCTCGTCTACATGGATGAGGTCAAGTAGGAGGAGGATGAGCCGGAGCCCTCCTACCCGCCCGTCCAACCGGCGCAAGGCACCGTTATCATGGACATCTCCGATGACCTAGGTTAGCACGTAGTATGTAGTACGTAGAATTTCTTTTGCATGCTTTGTATGAATCTAGGAGCTAAAATATGAAAAATCAGATACAGAATGACTAATTTAAGATGTGATCGGTCCCAGATGCGTGTTTGATGGGCCGGATTTGCAAATTCCGGCTATAGATACTCTTAACATCGCGAATTTAAGAGCGGTACACAGAAACGCTAGCGCCTGCTGCCTCCAAGGCTTGAATGTCTCAAGTGGGTTGAGGCAAAGCCTCGTGCTGGAGATTTTTCAGGGCCATCCTTTTAGCGCCGCAGTTTTTTTCTTTTTGGACAAATTTTTAGCGCCGCAGTTAGTTCTTGCGTCGACGCAACAGAATTTCCCAGGACCAGGCGGGAATCAAGAGAAAAGCAGGATAGCTCGCGCATGCACCTGCACCTGCTGCCCGGCGCCCTATATATAAGCCAGCCGGGGCCATCCCTCTCTTCCTCCGGCGGACGAGCTTGGCTAGACAAGTCAGAGTCTACCACCTAATCAAACGACCTAAAAAGGAGGCCGGGTTATACTTCCATACTCCAACCTAGAGTCAGCCAACATATCGAGTAAAACTCTCCATCGGAAGCAACCAACGAGCGAGCTCGCGGGTTCGCCGGGCATGGGTGGCGCGGCAGACGCCAAGAAGGCGCCCTTCGGCTCGTCGCTCGTGTCGGTGTTCATGCACGCCGACGCGGCGGACGTGGCGCTCATGGTGCTGGGCCTGGTGGGCGCCATCGGCGACGGCATCTCCACGCCGGCGATGCTGCTCATCACCAGCCGCATCTTCAACGACCTCGGCAGCGGCCCCGACCTCCTCCAGGAGTTCAGCTCCAAGATCGACGAGGTACGACTTCAGCATTTCTTTCTGGCCATTGTTCAGCCGGCCGTGGCAGCCATGACGAGATATTGACATGCAATTCCCGTGTTGGAATGAATCCACTCGATCGGCCAGAACGCGCGGAACCTCGTCTTCTTGGCGCTGGGTTGCTGGGTCATGGCGTTCCTAGGTGAGTGAGAATACATTTGGATGCCGTGCCAATGGCGTACATGCAGCCATGCAGTTCTCAATGTGATCGATGCGTGTGCAGAGGGGTACTGCTGGTCGCGGACGGCGGAGCGGCAGGCGTCGCGGATGCGCGCGCGGTACCTGGCGGCGGTGCTCCGGCAGGACGTGGAGTACTTCGACCTAAAGGTGGGGTCGACGGCGGAGGTGATCGCCAGCGTCTCCAACGACAGCCTGGTGGTGCAGGACGTGCTGAGCGAGAAGGTGCCCAACTTCGTCATGAACGCCGCCATGTTCTTCGGCAGCTACGCCGTGGCCTTGGCGCTGCTGTGGCGGCTCACCCTGGTGGCGCTGCCGTCGGTCCTGCTGCTCATCATCCCCGGCTTCATGTACGGCCGCATCCTCATCGGCCTCGCGCGCCGGATCAGGGAGCAGTACACGCGCCCGGGCGCCGTCGCCGAGCAGGCCATCTCCTCGGTGCGCACCGTCTACTCCTTCGCGGCGGAGCGCACCACCATGGCGCACTTCTCGGCGGCGCTCGAGGAGTCGACGCGGCTAGGGATCAAGCAGGGGCTCGCCAAGGGCATCGCCGTCGGCAGCAACGGCATCACCTTCGCCATCTGGGCCTTCAACGTCTGGTACGGCAGCCGCCTCGTCATGTACCACGGCTACCAGGGCGGCACCGTCTTCGCCGCCTCCGCCTCCATCATCCTCGGCGGCCTGTAAGTGGCAATAATCTATCTAGTTTCCGGTCCATTGTCCATGCACGACACATAGCCGCGCGCGCGCCGCCATTAACGACGATCCTTGAAAAACGCGTGCATGCAGGGCACTGGGGTCGGGGCTGTCGAACGTCAAGTACTTCTCGGAGGCGAGCGCGGCGGGGGAGCGGGTGCTGGCGGTGATCCGGCGGGTGCCCAAGATCGACTCGGGCAGCGACACCGGGGAGGAGCTGGCGAACGTGGCCGGCGAGGTGGAGTTCAAGAACGTGGAGTTCTGCTACCCGTCGCGGCCGGAGAGCCCCATCTTCGCCAGCTTCTGCCTGCGCGTGCCGGCGGGTCGCACGGCGGCGCTGGTGGGCAGCAGCGGGTCCGGCAAGTCGACGGTGGTGGCGCTCCTGGAGCGGTTCTACGACCCGTCGGGCGGGGAGGTGGCGCTGGACGGCGTGGACATCCGGCGGCTGCGGCTCAAGTGGCTGCGCACGCAGATGGGGCTGGTGAGCCAGGAGCCGGCGCTGTTCGCCACGTCCATCATGGAGAACATCCTGTTCGGCAAGGAGGACGCGACGCCGGAGGAGGTCACGGCCGCCGCCAAGGCCGCCAACGCGCACAACTTCATCTCCCAGCTGCCGCAGGGCTACGACACACAGGTAACAATCAATTACTACAAACTTTTTTCTTACTCTAGTAGTACCGTGATTCGCAATCCATGGCGAGTCGCTGTCAATTTCATTTTCGTCAACTTTTGTTCCCGTTGCGAAATTCTCCTTATGCGATTCGTCTGAGTTGTTTTCTCTGCGAACTTTCTGCTAACATGTTCGGTGGATTGGAGTACGGAGTCACACAAAATGCGGTAAAAAGGCGAGAATTTTCATCATGTTGTTGTTTCCTTTTCCTTCTCTGTTTGCTCTCTCCATGTGTATTTTTCTCCCAAAAGTCAAGAGCGAGAGCCAATCGATTACTACTAGTGAAAGGAATACGATTCAGATAGTTTTAAAACGTACTATTAAAGGCTAGATTCTAAAGAGAGATCAACAATATACAAATCATAGAGCACCATCCCAAAAAATGGAAGCTCTACTTTGCACTGACATGGACATGCTTAGTTATGGAGTATGTGTATGCAAGAAAAATCTTACTGGAACTGGAAAAGATAAGAATAAGAAGGAATATAGTAGCAACCATAAAGGTGCTTCCATTTTCATACCCCTGCAGCATAGTAGCAACCACAAACGGGGCGGGAATTTTTGGAGCATGGCTCCACGTGCACCCATGAACAGTAAAAAAAGTTTTACAAAATAGTAGTACTGAATTTTGTTGTAACATAGATAGTCGATTGTGAAGTTTCGCTAAGAAATGACATCCATGATAATCCAGAAAAAAATACATTGCTTGATGAATAGTAAGATCCCAATGGTGCGTGTGGAACCATATTCACCTTGATATTTTGCTCAAACTGGCCCAAACTAACCAACAGAATAACTAAACATGCCACAGCGAAATTCTCCTCCTTGTTTAATTGAACAGGACTAGTACTGGTAGGCAGCCGCGGCGTGTGGCCCTGGAATCCCAACTCCTCCCTTTGTGCGTTGCGAGTTGTGCCTTCCTTTTATAGGGGGGGTTCTTAATAAGGCATTTATTGATTGTTTTCTGGAAGAAGCACCCTTTTTTTTTTGAGCGTATGGAAGAAGCACCCTTTGTTTCTAGTGTGGTCACCTTTTTTAAGAACTCCAGCCGCGGGCAGAGAACATGGCCCTTAATTGCCTCTGAAGAAAAGCCCTTACGCCCCCGCAAAAAAAAAGAAGAAGAAGAAAAGCCCTTACGCAATCTGGGATTCGGGGGAGCTGATCATCCTGTCGAGTTCCCAATCCCACCAAAATAAAACACCTCAGTTATCTTGACCAAGTGTAAAGGAAATACTCTCTTATGTCTCAAAATCAAAAAACGTCTTACATTTTTTTTAAAACGGAGGCAAAAGCTTTGCCTCATCTCATTAATAAAGAAGGAGTATAGAACAAAGTCTCAATGAGGGTCATTACTCCTCAACAAATGCGAAAACAAAACGGACTACTCTCACGGCATCAAGGATCCCAAGTGTTTAGCCCCGGCCAGAACCCAATTCCTGGCCTCCACCTTGATGCCCTCTAGCACCGTGGTTGGCATTGAGGATTTCTTTTGGAACACCCTCGCGTTTCTCTCTTTCCAAACCTCCCAAGAGACTAGCATTACAAGCGAAGAGATCGTCTTCCTCCGGTGTCCGCGGCCAAGGATCGTTCTAGTCCACCACTCATGGACCGAAGAGATTCCAACCCAATCGGCGGTGTCGAGCTCCGGCGTGTCAAGCCAACATCTCACCGCATTCCAAATGCGCATGGAGAACCTACACTGGAACATAATGTGTGCCGCCGTCTCCGGCTCCCTTTTGCATAGTTGGCATAAATTGCAATTTGGCCACCCTCGCCGTTGTAGCCGGTCTGCCGTCCAAACCCTGTTCTTGTTGATGAGCCACGCGAAAAACTTGCACTTGGGGGGTGCCCAGTTTCCTCATATCACTTTCTTCATGTTGGTTGCCACCGCCCCTTCGAATTGCACCTTGTAGGCCGAGGCGGACGAATATGTGCCATTGGTCGTGAGGTTCCACTTTATGTCATCGGCCAGGTCATCTCGAAGTTCAACTTGGCTGAGCTTCTCCCAAAGTGTGCAGAACTGTGCAATATGGTCAACTGAAAGCCCATCCTCCATTTTAATCCAGTGCACCCAATTTTGATCCTGCATGGCCTCCTTTACAGATTTATTCTTGTTGGATGAGCTCGCGAACACGAGCGGGGCGATGTCCTTGGGTTTCTTTCCTTCCAGCCACGGTGAGTGCCAGAAATGCGCCATCCGACCATCCCCCACGGTGATAGTAGTCGCCACATAGAAGAGCTCTCTGTCCATGGAGTCGCATGGGTTTCCCAAGCCGACCCATGGTCTATCGGGTTCCTTCCATTCGTACCATAGCCATCTTAGGCGCAAAGCTCTCGCATATAAGTGAAGGTCGAGGACTCCCAAGCCGCCAAGGCTCTTTGGTCTGCACACGGCCTTCCAGTTGACCTTGCATTGCCCGCCAGAGACCGTCTCTGCTCCCGCCCAAAGGAAGGCCCTCTCGAGCTTATTAAGATTGCTCAGAGTACTCTCAGGAAGTTTAATCGCTGTGGCATGGAAAGTGGCCTGGGAGGTGGTCACCGATCTAACCAACTCGGTTCGCCTAGCCGCCGTGATGAACCGGCCCTGCCAAGGAACCAAGCTCCCTGCAGCTTTGTCTACCAAGTGTTGAAGATCAATTTTCCTGAGCCGGTGAATGGACAGCGGGAGGCCGAGGTAGCGCATTGGGAAAGTAGCACGCTTGGCCGGAAAGCACTCAAGAACGGCATCCAGGTCAATGCCGCTGCAACTAATAGGAACCACCGAGCTCTTTTCGAGGTTCGTTGTGAAACCGGTGACTTCGCCAAACCCAGCCAGGATGGAGGTTAATTGCTGGATGTCCTCCTTGAAAGGCGCCACAAATATGGCGGCATCATCGGCATATAGCGAGGAGCACATGCAGGTGGCCCTGCCCCCTATCCGGTGTAGCTTGCCCTGTCTTGTGGCGGTGTCGAGAATGCTCTGGATAGGGTCAATGGCCAGGACAAATAGAAGGGGGGAGAGCGGCTCTCCCTGCCAGAGGCCCACACCGTGCCACATAGGCTCACCCGGAATCCCATTGAGAAGGACTCTGGATGAGGACGACTGCAGCAGGGCGGTGAGCATATCTCTGAACCGTGTCGGGAAACCACGCCGACTGAGAAGGCTGAGCAAGTAGTCCCATCTGACAAAATCAAAAGCCTTTTTTATGTCTAGCTTGAAGAGGAGGGTAGGCTTCTTTAACCGGTGCATCCGCCGAGCAAGGTTGCACATACATAAAATTATCGTGGATGCTTCTGGACTTGATGAAGGCGCTCTGGCTATGGATATCAGAGTGTGCATGAATGGTGCTAACCGAGTTGCCATCATCTTGGCCACAATCTTAGCCACCGCATGGATGAGGCTGATTGGTCTGAAGTCAGAGATGCTCTCCGCCCCATCTTTCTTGGGAAGGAGAACTACGTTAGCCGTATTCACCCATTGGAAGTGCTCAGAACGTAGGTCGGCAAAACTATTGACCACAGCCATGATGTCCGCCTTAATGACCTCCCAAGAAGCCTTGAAAAAGGCCCCCGTAAAGCCATCCGGCCCCGGGGCTTTATCCTTGGGCATGTCTCCTATGGCGTCAAGGGCCTCATGCTCGCTGAACGGTTCATCCAGGCTGGACATATCACACTGATTGAAGTTTATGTTGTTCCAATTAAGGTCGCTATGCGGTCGAGGCTTCTTTTGCAGCATAGTGGAGAAGTGGTCATGAACCACCTTCTCCTTCTCCTTGTGCGTGCAAGCCCAAAGAGCCCCCACCCGCAGCCTGCGGATGAAATTCTTCCTCCTCCGTGCGTTCACTTTAATGTGGAAGAACTTTGTGTTGGCGTCACCCTCCTTCAGGTTCCTGATCCTCGAGGCTTGCCTCTTCCTTGCCCTCTCCAGAATCGCATAGCCAATGACTCTCCTCTTGAGCCTCATCCTCAAATCCCATTCCTCCGGAGAAAGAGGCCTTAGATCCATGGCCATGTCAAGCCCGAGGATAACCTCCAAAGCCATCGTGAGCTGTAGCTTTGCACTAGAAAAGAAACTATTGCTCCATCTTCGCAGCGCGACGCCGAGCCGACGAAGCTTTTCGGCAAGTATTCGGCAAGGCTCAGTGTGCTTGGTAGGCTTTCCCCACACCTCCGCAACAACCTGACCAAAGCCCGGCAACTTAATCCAGAAATTCTCAAATCTGAAAATCTGGAGCTTCTTTGGCCCATATTCGCTAGCTAGGATGAGTGGGCAATGATCAGAGAGAGAAGTTGCCATGGCGGAGAGGGCGTGGGAACTGAACTGGATATCCCAGTCGGAGTTGCAGAAAAAAGTATCGAGCTTGCACAACGTAGGATCAAGCCTCTCGTTGCTCCACGTAAATTTACGATTTTGCAAATGTATCTCCTTTAGCTCACAGGCATTCAGGGCGTTGCGGAAGCGATTTATGCGTGAGATATTTGCGTTCCTCTTGTTTTTGTCCCACGCCTTATATATCTGGTTGAAATCCCCGTTTGCAAGCCATAAGGTGCCAGTTGCAGGTTTCTGGGCTAGCAACTCCGCGAAAAAATCATCTTTTCTTCTACTGTCCGTCGGGCCATACACTTTGGTCAGCTTGAAAGAGATGTCGGAGTTGAGGAGCGTGATCATGGCCGATAGGTAGAACTCCCCCACGGCGATGTCAGAGGCGCTGATGGTATCTTCGTTCCAAAGCAAGATTATTCCTCCCCTAGTACCCAAAGCTGGCAAAAAAGCGAAGCCTTTCAGCCTATATCCACCAAGATAGGCCGATGTGGCCGCGTCCAGGGCAGCTAACTTGGACTCCTGAATGCACAGCAGGTTGCAGCGGGATGCGAAGATGGCCTCATGCACGGTAGTTCTGCGATCCGGACAATTTAGTCCTTGCACATTCCAACTGATAATGCTTAGGTTGTGTTCACTCATCTAGACAATTTTGACATCAGAG